ACATGTAGACAGAATATTGTATACATAATAAATAAATAAATATTTATTTATTAAAAAAAAAGAAATATCACATGGCCAGACGTTCAGAACTTAGTAGAAATTATTTTTTTAAGATTTATTTATTTATTTTATATATACATTTCTTCCATGTACACCTGCACACCAGAAGGGGGCACCAGATCACATTACAGATGGCTGTGAGCCACCATGTGGTTGCCGGGAATTGAACTCAGGACCTCTGGAAGAGCAGTCAGTGCTCTTAACCACTGAACCATCTCGCCAGCCCAGAAATAAATTCTTTGAAACATGCCTTGGTTTAATACTTCATTAGAAGCCATACAGTGGTGGCACATGCCTTTAATCCCAGCCCTCAGGAGTCAGAGACAGGTGCATCTTAGTGAGTTCTAGGTCAGCCTGGTCTACAGGCAAGTTCCAGTATAGGCTCCAAAGCTACAGAGAAACCCTGTCTTGAAAAACTTTAAAAGAAAAAAAGTTAATAACAACAAATAAGGCAGGCCTGGTGGCACATTCCTGTAATCCCTATATTCAGGAGGCCGACTGAGGCAGGAGAATCACAAGTGCAAGATGAGTCTTTATTTAAAAAAACAAACAACACATATACATAATTTGACTAGTCCATTAGAAGTTAAAGAAATGAAATTCGTGGTTTAAAACTTTATTACAGAGGAAGCTCTAAATTCATTTGCAAAGTCTCTCAAATAGAATTAATAATGTGAATTCTACACAAATGTCCGGAAAAGAGAAATGAAGAGTTTCACATGAGTTTAGTTGCCCTTGGAGGTCAGAAGAGGGCACTGGATCTCTGGAGCTAGAGTTTATAGGTTGTTGTGAGACACCTGATGTCAGTGCTGGCAGCTGAACTCAGGTCCTCTCCAAGGGGAACTGATGCTCTCAATCATGGGCCATCTCTGCAGTCCCAAAGCTTTTCTTCTTCTCATTGTGTGTCTGTGAGTGTGACTGTGTGTGAGTAGGTGTGCTTGCATACAGCTGCCTTTGGAAGACATTGCTGTGTTCGCTGGAACTGAAGTTGCAGGTGATTATGTGGGTGCTGGTACCCGAACTTGGATCCACGGATGGACAGCCTGCTGTCTAACCACTGCGCCATCTTTCCAGCCCAGCCGAACTTAGGATGCTTACTAATACTAAAGGCCTTGCATGAAACTAGATTATTTACCCTCATAAATTTAGAGAAACATTAACAAATCAAATTGAAGAACGTAAATAAAGGGTAAAGGGTGGCGCACGCCTCTAATTCCAGCACTCAGAAGGCAGAGGCAGGCGAATCTCCATTCGGCCACCTTTGAGGCAGTAAGGTGCCTTCCCTGTTCACTGCTGCCACAGGAGCCCTTGAAATTCAGAATCTGTCTAAAGATACAAAAGAATTTTATGTTGAAGGAGGCCACTTGTTAGTTCCTGGCTCCTCAGCCCCGAAATAATCACACAGAATCTGTATTAATTAAACCACTGTTTGGTCCATTAGCTCTAGCTTCTTATTGGCTTACATATTAATTTAACCCATCTCCATTAATTCCATTAATCTACATCACCACAAGATTGTGGCCTATCAGCAAAGTTTTAGCATGTCTGTCTCCGGTGGAGACTCCGTGGCTTCTCCTGACTCTGCCTCCTTTTGCCCAGCATTCAGTTTAAGTTTTCCCTGCCTACCTCTATTTCCTGTGCAGGCCCAAGATAGTTTCTTTATTAACTAGTGGTATTCACAGCATACAGAGGGGACTGACTCCCACCTAGAAATTCTTTGTCATTTCTCTTACCAGTTCAGTATGTTTTATACTTTTGGTATCAACTTCTAAACACTACAGTCTAGGTGGACCTTCAACTCAAACAAAGAAGCCTGAGTGCTGAGGTTTAGATAGTTGTAGCCACCATTCCTAGGAAAGTATACTCCTGAATGTTGAAAACAGTAAAAATTGTTCTTCCGGGAGGAGTAAATCAGTGGCAGAGCACATGAAACTTGACATTAAACCTTGGCCTCAGTCACAAGCACCCAGATTTCATCTAGGACCCCTAATACTGATATTAGCGGAAGACCGTTCTTTTCAGGGGTTTATGGTAAACCATTGCAGCCAGATACATCAGATAGGACTGAACGACTTCTAATCTTTGTTCATCAGAGGTTAAGTCTGCTGAGCCATATTTTCATCATACTTTCCAAACAGTGTAATTTAAGAACACTTTACACTTCGCACACAGTTACTTCTACCCCAGCTGATGCTCTGGCAGTCAATCTGCTCGGTCCTTCTGTGTTGGGGATTGCTTGTGCCTCTTGGATCATTGCTGGTTCATTTTTAGATGTTAGACTATCCCGTTCCCATGAGCACTGCTTCCTGTAAGCACTGCTTGCTCATACTGTGCTTGGGAGTAAGTGCTGCTCGTGGTCAGTAACTCAGAGAGGAGAATGAAATCCTCCAGCTCATGCAGAACAAGTCTCTTGAGTTGTGTAAATCTGTGTGACTGGTTCATAAGCTTCACCTCTCACACAGATAAGGGTGATTGTTGCCTTGTACTGGGGCTGCCCTTTCATGATGATACCTCTTACATTCTAATAGGCTAATATGATAAGGGCCCAATTCTTCACTCTTTGGTGTTCTACCACTGAGATAGATATGTCCCAGCCACTGGACGCCTTTAAAAATCTTTGTATCAACTGCTGGGGCTGAGCAGATGGCCCAGCTCAGTGCTTAAGAGCATTGTGTAAAGGATGTAACGCAATTCTAGTTAGTCTTAATAAATAAAAACCCAGAGTTAGATATTAGGGGCTGAGAGCTGAAAGATCAGAGAAGCAGAGCAACCAGCCACTGGAGTTCTTAACTTTCCAAATGCTCAGACCAAATGGGTAAGATCCTGTCTCCTGCCTTATATTTCTCTCTCAGCCCAACCACGTCACTTCCCATCTCCACCTCCCTAGTGCTGAGAATAAAGGTGTGAGCCATTGCTACTTGGCTCTGTTTGCCTTTTAGCCCAGGGAGTCCTTGAACTCACAGAGATCTACCTGCCTCTGTCTTCTGAGTGCTGGGATTAAAGGTGTAAGCCACCACTGCCTGGCCTCTAGGGCTAGCTAGTGGCTATCTCTACACTCTGATCTTCATGCAAGCTTTATTTGTTTAAGCACAAACAAAATATCACCAACAGAAGGACCCGGTCTGGTTCTTGGTACCCATATGGAAATTCACAACTATTTTGTGTCCCCTTTGGTCACCAGACATGCAAGTGGTGCACATGCTTACATGTAACCAAAACGCTCATACACATAAAAAAAATAAATCTTAAAAATAAACTTTAAAGGGCTGGAGAGATGGCTCAGAGGTTAAGAGCACTGACTGCTCTTCCAGAGGTCCTGAGTTCAATTCCCAGCAACCACATGGTGGCTCACAACCATCTGTAATGAGATCTGGTGCCCTCTTCTGGTGTGTGGGAAGCAGAATGCTGTACACATAATAAATAAATTAAAAAAAAAAACAATAAACTTTAAAAAATATTTGTAATCAACCATAACATTTTACTTGATGTACAGATTGGTACACATTGTGATACTGGATGGACATATGAAGGGGGTTCTGAGGAGTCCTCATTCTCTGAGGCTTTAGGGTCAACACTGCTGAGAGACTCACATATTTACTGTGGAAATGGCATTCCCAGTTCTAGGTGTTTTAAGTATTCACCTGCACATTACAAAGTGATGGATTTCCTTGTTTTCATGTGTATATATGATACTCTTTGCTTATATTTTATGCTTTTTGTGTTCTGTGCACTGCAATATGTGTAAAGCTAAGTTTTGAGATCCATGTGTAAAACTGGGTCTGGTGGCACAGGTCTGTAACCCCCACTACTCAGGCCAAGGCTAGAGGATCAAAAGTTCAAAGTTCTCTGAGCAACCTAATGAGACCCTGTCTCAAAGAAAGGGAGTGGAGGCCTGGAGAGGTGGGGAGGAGCAGTTACTGCTCCTCCAGCACAGTTAGCATTTCACAGCTTCCTGTAACCCCAGCTGAAGGATCGGCTGTCCTTTTCTGGCCTCTGTGAATACCCACATACCTGTGTGTACAGACATACACATGTACATACATAAAAGTCAAACAAGTCTAGGCTGGAATGATGGCTCAGCAGCTAAGAGCTTTTATTGTTCTTGCAGAGGACTCAGGGTTGGTTCTCAGCACCTACATGGTGGTGCACAACCACCCATGACTCCAGTTCCAGGGATGGTTCTTTCTTTGCTGTCTGATCCTCACTCATCTGCTTCACTGTACCTTCCATGAGGTACCTGTAAAATGTCACTGAAATAGGCTAGTAAGTTTCTGAGTCTCGGAATGGTTCAGGAGTTAATGCGGTCTACAGAATGTCAAAGATTGTTGGCAAGTGGGCTGAGCACAGCAGAAGCTTGGCTCATTTAGAAAACTATACTAGATGTTGGTAAAATGGCTTAGTGGGTAAGGGTACTTGTTGCCAAGCTCGATAGAGTTCATTTGATGTCCTACATGGTGGAAGGAAAGACCTGTCTTTGCCTGCAGGTTGTCTTTGACACATATGATAAACAAATGAATAAATGTAATCTAAAGACAGTGCCCATCTGGGAGCCAGGCATAGTAGCCCATACCGGTAATCATAGCACTCAGACTGGATCACAAGTTCTAGGCTAGCCTGGGCTACATTGTCACAAATAGAAAAAAGCCAGGCTAGACCAGTGCTCATTTCCAAGGGAGATTAGGCAAAGAGCCTTGCTCCATAACATTAAGACTTGAATGTCTCCTTGCTTGGCAACTTTGAGAAAAGAATCATATATTTAGGATAGTGGATAGTACCATTCTACCTCCCCCAATTTTTGTCGTCAAAACCATACCAGATTACTTCTTAGCCCTCAGCATTGGGAAATTAGCACTGTGCACTGTGAGTTTCAGTCCTGATATCCAGGACACTTGCTGTCTTCACACTGTTCACTCTTACTCATAAGGGTGTTTTTCCATCAGGGGTGGATGAATGAGATTTACAACTATGATCCAGAAACGTACCACGCCACGTTGACGCACTCAGTCTATGTCCGGCTTGAGGGTGGCACCTTAAGGCTTTCAAAACCCAACAAAAACATATCCAGGAGGGCAAGCTACAATGAGACAAAGCCAGAGGTCACCTACATCAGCCAGAAAATCTACGACCTCACAGACAGCAAGGTAAGTCTGGGTAATTCTCGAAGCAGAGCTTGAATGAATGAAAAACATTTGGAATCTTTTCATCTGCACCCACCCTGTGATCTTGTTTAAGGAGCAGTATATTATAGGACAGCATCCCAGACAGCACCTGTGTGGGCCACTCTGTGTGGGCCAGCAGCACTGATTTCTATGAGCTTCTGCTGCTGCAACTCCATGGACCACACCTCCAGGAGCAAGAATTCACCACACTCAGAATTTTTACCTTAAATTCTGGTTATGGGGCCAGGGATGCTGACCCAAACCTGTAATCTCAGGAGGCCAAAGTGGGAGGATCCCCATGATGTAGCCTGGGCCATATAGTTTGAGATCAGACTGAGCTGGATTACATCTTTGGAATCCTATCTCAACCTGCCACCTCTACATATACCCTAAAAAATGAGAGAGAGAGAGAGAGAGAGAGAGAGAGAGAGAGAGAGAGAGAGACCAACACCAGTGGATTTTTTAGTCTAAAAGCAATGTGTTGTGGTGCCAAGTGTTGATAAAAGGCTCTGTGAAATATCAGCATAGTGTACACACAACAGTGCATTTGGATAAGGTATTGTCTCTATGCTTGTGGAAAATATACATTTATTACTATTACACACAGACAGCGAGTGTGAGTGGTCTTTAAGTTCCTCCACAGTAATGGAGGTATGTAAAGTAGTTGCTATGTAGATTCATCCTTGAGTTGATTCCCAGCATTGACCTACACTTCCTGTCTAGGCTGAGAGATACTTTTTCCCTCACCTTAATATTCATCTAGGGCCATTAACTGAGTTGGTATCCAAGACCATATGATAATAATCATTTAAATGTCACACTCCGTTACTGCTGCCTAACAATGAAAGATATTTATAGCTCATGTGTAGTTCTTAAATATGTACACTTCAGAATTTTGAGGAATAACAAGTCATTTCTAAAAATTTATTCTGCGTTCAACAGTTGTGTTACAGTGGTAAGAGAAATTTAACTTCTATCATTTTAGTCAAAGACTCAAAAAGGCTAACATTTCTGATACGTGTGATATTGATGCACAAGGCAGACAGTCTTTCATATGTAAATCGTCATTTGTCTTTCTCCATAGATTTATCTTGTACCTAAAAGTCTGGCTCGCAAACGAATCTGGAATAAAAAGTACCCCATTTGCATTGAACTTGGTCGGCAAGATGACTTTATGTCCAAGGCTCAGACGGACAGGGACACTTATGAGGAGAAGCCACCTGCTGAGAAAGAGCTGGCAAGTGAAGACCTTAAGAAGCCACCCCAGCCTCAAGAGGGGACAAAGTCTAGCCAGAGAGACCCGATACTGTATCTCTTTGGGAGAACTGGCCGGGAAAAAGAAGAGTGGTTTAGGAGGTTCATCCTGGCATCTAAGCTGAAGTCAGACCTCAGGAAGCAGGCTGGTGTTTCTGGAAGTAAATCAGGTAATAGTGTTTGTGCAAAGTGTGTATGTGTTTAAAGGGCTTGTGGGAAGTGTAAGAGGAAGTGCCAGGCAGGAAGGCACTTCAGTAATTCAGTTCATTACTCTCTGCCACCTCAAGTGTGTCGTCATGACATGTGTACCTTTTACAGTAGCCACTGCCGCCCTTTGTACTAAGTCATCTTTCCCGATGTCCATTTGTGGGCATATGTGGTTAGCCCGTGGCGGCACCCTAGGGGTGTCTTTTCTTGGTACTCTCATAAAAGCAGCTACAAGAGACCCTTGTCTGAAGAAAGTGGTAAGAGCAGAGCATGGTGGTCCACACCTTTAATCTCAGGACTAGGGAGTCCGCAGGTGGATCTCTGTGAGTTTGAAGCTAGCCTAGTCTACATAGCGAGTCCCAGGCCAGCCAGAGCTACATAATGAGAGTCCCGCCTCTGCCACCTTTAGGCATGTGCCATCACATCCAGCTGCATTTGGTTATTTTTAATGACTCGCACTTACAAAACAACAAAGTCAACGGTAAGAGCCAGGAGTGTGGAAGGCCTTGGTACCCGCCTCACACAGAAATCAAGCAAGCCTTCACTCTCATACTGTCAGTACCTTGATTATCCTGAGTAACCATAAAACACTGTGAGTTGAGATGGAACTTAAGGCAACAGGTGAAGACTGTACTGTAGTTCATAGCCACTGCCCACCTGCTGGACGATTTACAGACTGTCTGCCTTGTGCTTGAGTATCACACTTATCAGAGAGGTTACCCATCCTGAGCCTTTGGCTAAAATGCTGGAAGTTAATGTATGCACTATGCACAGCCTTTGCCCAGCTGGCTTGTCATCAGCTGTGAAGGTGATACTGGTGCTGAATCTCCACGGCCAGGTACCTCTGTAAATACCACATGACTCAGGCCTGTCCTCTCTCCCAGAGATGCTATCACTTGGAGACATAGATTTTACTGGCTACTCACAGTGCAGGTTCTGGCTCGGGAGACCCAAGCAAGGATGGAGATCCCAAGTTTCTAGCACTCAGGTCGAGTTTACTCAGAAGTGGTTGCAGGAGGAATAAAACCTGGAGACAGTGGAAGCCATGAGTTCCCCGCACAGTTCCAGTGTGGTGTTACCAAGAGCTAGCCATGAAATCTAGAGTCCCGTGCAGGGCACAATAACCATGCCATAATTGGGTTCTCTTCTTCCCTGTCCTTGAATGGGGGAAGGGTGTTCTGGGCTGTCTTTTTCAATTTTTTTTTTATTTGTTAACTAAACTCTAAAGTTTATTTGGATTGTACTGTGCTTTCTTCTAAAGTCCTTCTCTTCTTCGTGGGACTTCCCTGAATTTTGCTCTTCACACGCTGTTCTCTTTCTAGAGCATTCATCTACCAGGCCAAGGACAGTGGCAACTCTTTCCTCAGAAGACAGTGCAGGTGTCCCTGGTGGGATGTCAGTGCCGGGTCAGCAGCTCTGGGCCATGCCTGTTACAGGCAGTTGTGACCTGCCTTCCCACATGTCCTACTTCCAGGGCAAGGATTCTGCCTTGTTCTCCTGGTTAGCATGGAATAGGTCCAGAAAGCATGTGTGATAAGTGATCTGTTGGATGAAAGATGGCATCTTTGAAATGCCCTGAGCTGTGGATGAACAATTCTTTAGCTTCCTGCCTAACGCCCCCACCGCCGCGCACGCCCCCACCGCCGCGCACGCCCCCCCCCACCTGTGCTCTGTTAGCATTCATGGCAACCCTGACTGGAGGGCACATTGGTGCTGTGTTTTCTGTTTTCATAAAGGATCACTGGGAGCAAGTAAAAAGGTAGCCACCTGGCCTACTGTGCTGCTGCCCTTATTCCAAAATTACTTTGAGAATAAAAACTATTCTAAAAATCATCTGTCATTAAAGTAGAAAGTGTTTTTCAGGGTAATGATTTTTAAAAAAAATCTTTGGCATTTTAGGTGCTTTTCCATTTAACCTACAAGCGTTTAGTTTATTCCTGGCCATTTTTTCATCTGTATTAAAAGCTGTCACTTCTTACTCCAGGGCTTTTGCCCACCCACAGCAGACACAGCAGTCCCTCGGGGCACCTGACCCATAGCCGAAGCAGCAGCAAAGGCAGCGTGGAGGAGATGATGTCCCAGCCAAAACAGAAGGAGCTGGTGGGCAGCGTGCGGCAGAAGGTGCTTCTGGACTACAGTGTGTACATGGGCAGGTGTGTGCCCCAGGACGACCGAAGCCCCCACAGGAGCCCTGTGCAGAGTGCGGAGAGCAGCCCCACAGCTGGGAAGAAGGTAAAGCTACCAGGCCAGGTCCTTTCTGCTCTCCTCAAACTCACCTTTACATGCAAGGGTTTCATGCCAGGCCCTCCCTATTCCAGGATCCAAGACATGGTGATGAGCTAGACATGGAAAGGCACGTATTCTTTCGGATCTCAGGTTCAGGGAGATGGCACCAAGTGGACAGTGAGTGGCAGGAAGAATTGAAGCTGGGTTACAGGCAATGGACTATTTGTGAATTCACAGAGATCCGAGATTAAAGGCATGTGCCACCACTGCCCATTCAAGATCCTGTCTTAAAAAAAAAAAAAAAAAAACAAAAAAACAACATAGTGCCTGGAGATGGCTCAGTACGGTGCTCCGGTACTACACGGTGCTCCTGTGTACTACATGGTGTTTCTGTCCTACATGGTACTCCTGTCCTACACGGTGCTCCTGTCCTACACAGTGCTCCTGTGTACTACACGGTGCTCCTGTGTACTACACGGTGCTCCTGTCCTATACTGTGCTCCTGTGTACTACACTGTGCTCCTGTCCTACACAGTGCTCCTGTGTACTACATGGTGCTCCTGTCCTACACAGTGCTCCTGTGTACTACATGGTGCTCCTGTCCTACACAGCGCTCCTGTGTACTACACGGTGCTCCTGTGTACTACATGGTGTTTCTGTCCTACATGGTACTCCTGTCCTACATGGTGCTCCTGTGTACTACACGGTGCTCCTGTCCTATACTGTGCTCCTGTCCTACGCAGTGCTCCTATACTACTGTATGAGTCAGCAGAGCTGGTACTTTACCAATTTCATATTAATTTTGTGGTTTGGGCAAATGATTCCCATCCTATGAAATACTAACATGGTTCCAAAAATCTGAAGCCATTTGTTTTCCCCCATTTCTCTGCTGCCCCCATTCACTCCCAGACAGGCAAGTGCCCTGAGCATCTGATTTGCTGTCTGTGTATCATTTCCTCTTCTGTTTTACCCAAAGTTTAGTGTACTGTGGATATTCTTTGAGCATTGCTGGTCCATTCACAAATACGTTCTGAAATTGTTCTGTATCCATTCATAGAATTCACTCTCCTCTTTTTAAACAGATCCAGAGACTGCAATGGGTGTTCCATAGTTTAAGGTTTTTCCCAATGTTTTGCAGTTTCTGGCAGTGCCAGGATAAGTAGCATGTGAGTGTGTTTTCATGTTGTCGGGAGTGACCTCAGTGGTGAAACCTTGAAGGCAGTATTACCAGGTCAGAGGTGAATGCACGTGTGCTTCGGTTAAAGATTGCCAAATTCCATCCTATTGGTTACACTGGTATTAAATTCCTACCAGGAAGGTATGGCAGTGCCCATTTCTCTGACCTCACCAAAGGTGGATCTTCTAGGTATTGTCAATGTTGTTCTTCCTGCCGAAGATAGGGCATTTCCTAAAGTCCATATTACCTCCACCATCATAAGTCTGAAAGGAAGGCCTTAACAGGGTCAGAGACACAAAGAACCTTTGACATTTCCTCAAGTTGCTCTATTATGTTTTCAGACTTGGCTACCACCCAGATGTTCACCCAGGTTCACATGTCCCCTCTTTCATAGAAGGGAACTTGAGACACTTTGTTCTATTTTCCTCCACTTCCTGCTATCTCCCTGTCCTGCTCCCTCTTATAGATCATGGTCAAAACATTTCTGTCCCTGAGGGTAGGGCTCCAGAGTGTCGTGAACACAGCCACACATTCATCTCCCTTTAAGTTGTGTTGCCTAATGCTTAATGACTTGGCTCGCTGATCAGCGTTAGGTCTCTGGAGCTCAGGAGCTAAACCTTAGGTAACAATACCCAAAAAATCTTTAATTAGTGACCACTGTAGAACTTTATCATCAGGACCGCCAGCTCACAGATAATGACATGGAGACTTATTATTAATTATGAGTGCTTGGCCTTAGCTTAGACTTGTTCCTAACTAGTTCTTATAATTTAAAATTACCTTTTTTTTTTTTTTTTTTGGTTTTTCGAGACAGGGTTTCTCTGTAGCTTTGGAGCCTGTCCTGGAACTCCCTTTGTAGACCAAGCTGGCCTCGAATTCACAGAGATCCGCCTACCTCTGCCTCCCAAGTGCTGGAATTAAAGGTGTGCGCCACCACTGCCCGGCTTTACCCATATTTTAAAATCTACATTCTGGCATGTGGTTCGTTACCTCGTCTCTCCTTACTGCTCATGCTGCTTCCTCCATCTCTGGCTGGCGACTTACTGGCGTCTCTACCTTTCTTCCTCTCTTGAGTCCTCTCTGTTCCCAGAAGTCCTGCCTAATCTCTGCCTCCCTGATGGCTGTTAGCAAGGCAGAGGGAATGGGGGAGAAGGGCAAGGCCTGCCAGAGCCATATTTGTCATGCTCTAGCTGGCTAAGGGCCCTTTGGCCTCAGTTGGTAGCTCATTCGTGCTCAGTGTTCCCCCCCCCCCATATACACGCACACACAAGCACACATATACAACCCATTAAGAAATAAATCTTTATAAACTAATAAGGTAGAGAAGAAGCCAAGATTCCCATTATTGACCTCAGGGCTCTACATACACACATGCATGTTTGTATACACACATACATGTGTAAAGAGGATTAGAATGAAAGCTTGGATGGTAAGTGCTTGCTTGCTATCATGATGGCATGAATTTGAATCCCAGAACCCACATAAAAAAGCCAGATATGGTGGCATGTGCTTGTAATCCCAGCCCCAAGGAGACAGAGACAGGTGGATTCTCAGCTCACTGACCAGCCATTCTGGCCTACCCAGTGTGTCTCAGGGTCCAAGGAGAGATCTTGTCTCAAAAAATAAGGTGGGAAGCCTAAGGTACAGCATCCAGAGAATGCCTCTGGCCTTCATAAACATGTTTGTATACACATGAACATGAAGACACAAACCAAATCAATCAGGTGGCTGGAGAGATGGCTCTAGAGTTAAGAGCAATGGCTACTCTTCCAGAGGACCCAGATTCAAGTCACAGCATCCACATGGCAGCTCAAAGCTGTCTGTAACTCCAATTCCAGAGGATCTTAAGCATCCTCTGGCCTCTACAGGTACCAGACATGAACATGGTACACAGATATGCATGTAGGCAAAACACTCATATATACAAAATTAATTTGTAAAATAGGCCAAGGATCTGGATAGAAATTTTTTAAAAAAGCATATGGGGTCTAGGGAGATGGTGCAGCAGTTCAGAGTGCACACTGCTCTTGCAGAGGACCCAAATTCAGTCCCTGACAACTGCTTGTAACTCCAGCTCCAAAGGGATCCAACACCTTTGGACTTCCAGGGCTCTGGCCTATTTGGGCACCTGAGTATCCATACCTAAACACACAAAATTTTAAAAATAATGAAAATCGTGTTTCAGGACAGCCAAGACTGTTACACAAAGAAACCCTGTCTCCAGGGAGGGAGTGTCCTTAAAATGAAAGTGTGGTATTGATACATCGGTCAGGCCTGGTGTCACAGCCCTGTAATTCTAGCACTTAGAAGATGGAGGCAAGAGAATCAGAAGTAAAAGTCCAGCCTAAGCTACAGGATGAATTCAAGGCCAGCCTGGGCTACACGAGACTTTGTCTTATCAAACATTTTTGGGAGGTAGGTAGAGGGGAGCCAGATTGCATGGTTTCACTGTGTAGCCCAGACTGGCCTGGGACTTACAATATAGATCAGGCTGGTCTTTGACTCTCAGAGATGTGCCTGCCTCTGCCTCCAAGTGCTGAGATTAAAGGGGCATGCTTGCTACTTACCTTTTTTACATTACTGATACCCTGGAAAAAGACTAAAACTGGGCTCAGTAATGTGTGTCTGTAATCTTAGTACTCAGGAGGCTGAAGTAGGAGGATTGCCAGTTTGAAGTCATCCTGGGCCTTTAAGGTGTATGAGGGCAGTGGCAGCGAAAATGTTTCTGTTCTGTCTGGGGAGAGAGATCATGTGTGTGGTCTATAATGAATATGCATTGTTTTAAAATCAGGAGAAACAAGTACACAAGCATGAAGAAAGTGTCCTGCTGTGTCTGGGCCAGGCTGCCACATGTCACATGTGCCACCTTGAGACAGCAGCCCTGCGTGCTGTGCTTTCTCTCTGAGCAGAAAGGTACCCCTAGCCTCCCTTAAAATGGAGTCCATCTGTGCTACACTGAGCATAGAAATTCGTTTTAAATACAGGACTCCACGAGCTACACAGACAGTCTCGGTGTCTTTGCTTCATCTTCGCAATGTCGGCGTCCACAGACATTATCTTTGGAAGCTGTGCTTGGGAGAGTACCCTTCCTAACCGTGTGGAGGGAGGAGCAGGCAGCACAATGGCATTCTCCTCACGTTTCTCCCTGCAGCCACCGCAGTATTAGGAAGTGTATGCACATTTATTCATTCAGCTTTCAGATTTTATGACAGTCATTGGGAATGCATTCTCAGGCTGTGGAGTCCAGATTGCACTGGTGAAGCCCTTTTGATGCGTTGTCAGTACTCTGCAGCTCCTGTGGAGGCCTGCCTTAGCTACAAGAGCTGAGAAAGGAAAAACGACTTGCTTGTCAATTCCCCTCAGACGTTTTGCCACATCATATGCCACTGGCTTGGATGTCATTGTGAAATAGTCTTTGTTTTTTGCTGCTTTTTTGGTGGAATTTGTTTCCTGTGAAGAGGAGCATTATAAAGAAAGGCTGAAAGAGGGCACGTGCTCCCTCCTGAGAATGGACAAGGTAACCTCTTCTATGTAGCCCACAAGACTAAAAATGATGTGGGTCTGACGTGGGTAGTAGTTTAACTCTGCCTGAGTAGCCTGGGGGCCATTTTCCACAGACATGTGATGTTTCTTCAAGAGCTTGCACATAGGGTAAACCTCAGACATGTTGCACCTGTTACTCTTGGCCTGAAGATGGTAGCTCAAGGTGTGTGTGTGTGTTTGTGTATGGGGAGTGAGCACACACACATGTGCACACACATGCACGCACACTTGTGGTATAGTTAAGAAGTTGCTGGTGCCACCAGACGGTGGTGGTACATGTCTTTAATCCCAGCACTTAGGAGGCAGAGGCAGGCAGATCTCTGTGAGTTCGAGGCCAGCCTGGTCTAGAGAGTGAGTTCCAGGGCAACCCAGAGAAACAGTGTCTCAAAAAACAAAAAAAATAGAAGTTGCCTATGCCAGCTTTTATTCTTCCATCCAGATCTTGGTGGAAAATGTCTTGGTTAATATCTAAGGTCATGTCAGAGCTAGGGAAGTACACATAGAATTCTCTAGAGTGAGGTAGAGTCATCTCTAAAATGTAAGGGTCAATGTATCTTTCATTTTTTCAAGACAGGCTTTCTCTGTGTAACAGGCTGTCCTAGAACTTGCTCTGCCTCCTGAGTGCTGGGATTTAAAGGCGTGCGCCACTACCTCTCAGCTAACATGTATCAATTTTGAACAAGGGTGTTTTTAAACATTTTTATTAGCATTAGCATGTGTATGTGTGAATGCCATGTGTGTGGGATGCCCGTGGAGGTCAGAAGAGGGTGTCAGATGGCGGTGAAGGTTGTTGTGAGCCTCCAGTGGGTGTGGAGGCCTAGAGTGCATCCACTGGAGAGCAGCAAGTTCTCTTAGCTGAGCTGCCCCTCCGGCCCACTTGTTTTTAATGAGTCACTGACATCCATAAGAAAGCCCTTGAACACCCAGATTTGAGGCGTTTAGAACATGTCCTAGATGCTGATGTGTTACTGGGAAATGAAAGTGAGCTCTCCACTCCCGCATTCCCAAAGAGAACTGGCACAGCTGGGATATGGCATGGGGGCTGAGCAGTCTGTGTGGCTCGTGTGGGTCAGACCCTAAGTCGCAGCTTCAGAACTGTCCCATGACAAAGACCGTGGGGGTTCTCCCAACCAGTCAGACCTGCAAGGTCAGATCCTTGGCACCTAACGACCTGTGTGCCATGCCACTGCCCTAGGCACATAGCCAGGTGGGACAGTCATTGCACAGAACAGGTCATGGTGGCACATGCATGAAAGAGAGGAGCATAGCGTGTGCAGCCCGACATGTCTATATAAAGCACAAAGGGAAAATGCGAGCCGTCCTCAGGCTGCTGCACTTGGAGATCTTTTGACCTTTCCTTTCAAGTGTTTGTTTTTCTGCATAAGGCTGTGGTCTAATTCAGATACCTCTGTAAATGCCTGTCTCATTGGCGAGACATTGACCCCTCTTCTCCTCGTGACAGAGTCAGGCAGCAGTCGTGGACTAGGGACCTCCCATTCCTCAAATGGAAGCAGGGTTCCTGTCTTTCTGGGGTATTGTGACGCACGAGTGTGGTGGTCTAAGGTGCCTGCTATTGGCCTGTGTGTGACCATGGTTAACAGCACCAGTGCTGCCCCTTGTAAGTGCTGAGCCCACCAGCACATGCTCGCCAACAAACCTCAGGGTCCCCTCATAGCTGCTGCTGCTTGCCTTCCTCCTCCACCCCCACCACTGACCCACCCTAGGCCGGATTCCATAGTCTAGCGACTAACCCGGGAAGTTGGAGACAGAACTGCTTACCCACTGGTCACAACAGATGTTTCTGACAGATTGTGTGTGGGTAGGGGATGGACATGAGGGTGTTTGCTGGGCTGGGGTGAACATCTGTCCTGAGTGCCGTGCTCTCATCCATCCCTGTGGTCTTTACTCTCTTTGTCACATCCTGAGAGATTTCAGGGTCACCCTATCTCAGAAGTACAGCCATGTGAATGTCAGCATTTTTAAGCACCATAAGAATGTCTTGACCTTGCCCAGATCCGGCTGAGCTTGCGTCCTGGTCATTGGAAACTCATTTCCTCCCGGTCAAGGTGTACTTGACAATTAGTTGTAGGCCCCAGCCCAGCTGGGAGAAGGATAGTCGGGCTTTGATTGATAGCTCGTTAAATCAGGTTAGCGGGGAGGGGAAGCACAGGCAGGACAAGTTGTCTAAGCTGTGGAGTGTTAGCTCGATCATAGGAGGCTGGAAAAGCAGAAAGTAGACAAAGAAGGTTGCAGCTGTGACAGCCAATTTTGTTTCTCCTTTTCTTGCTCACCAGCACGGTGTGGGACTTGTAATTTATAGGGAAGATGCACAGGTCACATGTTCCGTTTCTACAGGCGGGGCCTTCAGAGGCTTTATGAAAATAAGCACCTGTCTGGGTCTCCAGTTGTCTGATAGCTAATTTTGGTCTTTTCTTTTGCCAGTTGCCAGAAGCCCCACCCTCTGAGGAGGAAGAACAAGAAGCCTGGGTGAATGCCTTGCTTGGAAGAATATTTTGGGACTTCTTAGGCGAGAAATACTGGTCTGATCTAGTGTCGAAGAAAATCCAGATGAAACTTAGCAAAATTAAGGTATCGCTTTTCATACGAAAGGCCTCTGATTCCCCACTTCATTTCTGGTTGTTCTGCCCCCTTAGGTCCTACATGCAAACACACCTTGGTTTAAGCATACCACACACGCACAGCACATTTGACCTGGATCACAAACTGACCTTGATCTGTGACTAAGTATCTGGGGACTGAGTCAGCTGTCCTGATTGCTTTTTCTAGGGTTGCTATGTCATTATCCTCCCTAGGTGGTCTTCCCGAGCTTGTTTAGGAAAATAGGAACTCCTCTAGCGGATCTGAGTTAGAGACAACTTAAACTGCCCGCCCAGTTTTGCAGTGGGCCAAGCCACATGGAAATTCTGAACTCCATAGGACCCTTTCTCAGTTGCCCTCCTTCTCTCAGTTAGGACAGTGAGTGCTCATTCTAAATGAATTCGCCACTGACTGTTGCTTCCGGCCAGATGTCTCTTTGTACTGGACTCTCTCTTTGCTGAAGGAACACTCCTAGTGTTGGGCCAGGTCTTCTTGAAAGTGAGTTTAAGCTACCGAAGGATTCCTCATGACTGCCATTAAAGGACATGTTTGCCAATCAGAGACGTGGGGTAGTCCCAAAAAGCAAGTCTTTGGCCTGCTGAAGGCCCAGGGAGAGCACTTTGGTCCCTGAGTCTTCACTGAGAGTCCCATGATCAGGAGCCTACATCAGCAGCTCTGCAGCATTTTGAGCCATAAATTCCTTTGAGAAGCAGAAACCTATGGGTCGTCGTAGAAGAGCATACACTGATGTGATGCTTCACATGTGTTCTCAGGGAGTTCAAGACTCCCGGTCAAGAAAACTTCAGAATAAGGTAAACTTAGATTTAAAGAAAGATGTGGACACAAAGAAGCTTCAGTTTGGTTTTGATTCTTCCTCTGGACAAGGAACAGAATATTTTTTTTTTTTGCTTGGTTGTTTTCTACAGACAAGTCTTTGCCCTTCCCCAGCTTTCCAGTAAAGAAAAAGAGGCTGGTTGAGTGGTGAGAGTGCACGCCTTTAATCCTGGCAGAGGCAGAGGCAGGTAGATCTCTGAGTTCGAGGCCAGCCTGGTCTACAAAAGCTAGTTCCAGGATAGGCACCAAAGCTACAGAGAAACCTTGTCAAGAAAGAAAGAAAGAAAGAAAGGGGGGGGGGAAGAAAAGAAAGAAAGAAAGAAAGAAAGAAGAAAGAAAGCAAAAGCAAGCAAGCAAGCAAGAAAGAAAGAAAGAAAGAAAGAAAGAAAGAAAGAAAGAAAGAACCCAGCCAGAGGAAGTATAGATAAGTTCATAGTGTGATCTTGGGGTGGCTTAGGATTTCTGAGGACAGCAGTGCTCCTATGTCATTTCCTCTTGATGAATTCCTGCTGATAGAGTTGGGGGGATTAGTCAGGCCCAGGAAACAGATGATCAGCCAGAGGAGACTGCAGATTGCCTGGGCCAACAGAGGTGGGGGCTGTGGCCCTCCCTGTAGGGGCAAAGGTGGAGAGCAGTTTACCAGTCCTCTGGCAGGAGAGCTGCCTGTCTTGAAGGAGGTCAGACTTCACTGGAAGGGTGAGGACAGATGCTAACATTTCCTGCGCTGCCCCTCCCCTGGCCACTGGTGTGCCCTGATGACCATATATAACCTGAAGCTAGAGAGACCGTAGACACAGACTCACGGGCAGTCTGCACGGTCCTGCACTTGCAGAGCAGGTGGAGCCATGGGTGCATTGGAGGATGATGGAAATAGGCAGACCAGTGTCATGGGATGTAGAGTTGGGGTTTGGGCTTTAGTTTTGGTTTTCCCATTTATTTTTAATCTTGCGGTAAATTTGCCTGCCAGAAATGTAACAATTTCTTCCTCTCCATTCCTCCCGTGTAACGTGTGTCTTCTACCTGGAAGGTCTCAGATCAAATGTGGCTCCTTATTGGTGCTTCCTCACCTCTTTAACCAAGATGGCCATTCCTCACCAGTTCCACACTCTTCTGTCCCCTCCTGCTTTACAAGAGTATAACGTTTGTCTGCTCACTTGTTTCTGCCTCTGTGGTCTGTACATGAAGATGTGACCCCACCCCTTACCTTCTCTCCCCTCAGACAGTATGTGGAACTCTGGTTGACCTTAGCTTGGTTACCAGCTTACTAATTGTCTCATTTACTGTTTTTTTTTTTTTCTCTAGCTCCCCTACTTTATGAATGAGCTAACGCTGACAGAACTTGACATGGGTGTGGCTGTGCCAAAAATTCTTCAGGCCTTCAAGCCTTATGTTGATCACCAAGGTAACTCTTAGTTGACTAGAGAGGAGCTGGCCATTTATATGAGGGTGTTCTCTCGCTGTAGTTTTGACACCAAGTCTTTTGCCTAGAAGAAGCTAAGTCCTAATCACCCTATTTCATGTGGAGTGTGAGTTTCGTTCTTATTATTTGTCTAGTTTTTAAAAACTTATGTATGTGCCTCTGTGGGGGTGGGGCACAGAGGGAGAAATTGGAGGGCAGGTGAGGGATGTTCATGCTGAGTGAGGTCAGTGGGCAGCTCTATGGGATTGGTTCTCTCCGTTACCTTTATATGAGTTCTAGGGCTTGAACTTAGATCTTTAATCTTGCATGACAAGAGCATTTGTCCACTGAGCCATCTCACCAACCATTTTTCTCTTGTTTTAATTTTGTTGCTCTTTCATTATTGTTGAGATAGTCTTGCTGTGTAGCTCAGGCTGCTCTCAGGCCTCTCTGTAGTCTAGTTTGTCTGTAGACCCATGATTTTCGTACCTCAGCCTCCCTAACACAGACACAAACATATGTGCCAAGTGACTTGTGTTTTTACAGACACAGTAGGAAACTGACTCTCCTAACTCTAGTCTACCAGATTGTTGCAGGGTCTTTTCCAGCCCCAAGACACCCTCAAGCCAGTTGATAGGGCCTGTGTGAGTTATAGCCCTTGCCTCGGTATGAAACAGTGAGCTAGGTTTTAGCTGCACTCTGCTCTCATGGGCCCCACGTGTCCATCTGTCCTTGCTCTGACTCCAAGAGAAGCTGCTGTCTTCACTTATACCCCAGCCTCACCTACTGCATCTTCTAAGTTGTAAGATCTTTGACCTACATGTCTTGCATCTTTAACTTCCTTACACTGTTGTGGGTCTTGAGGATTTGGAAGATGAGGACACACATTTGAAAGCAGTATTCAGGAGCAAGTCCGTCTACTGGAGCACAGCTCTAGGGTCTGAGGGTTTAGGCATGCCATGGGCACAATATTTGTGCCTACTCTTGTGATAGAGAGAAGATTGATCATAATGTGGAAGGAATATAAATAGAATAATGAGAATGATCATAACTTTCTATGTCTTTTATAACACATGGCTTCAAAGGATGAAGGGTTAGTGTGCAAGAATTTAGTAAAACACAAAAGATGAGAGAACCAGGTGGACAGGAAGAGCTGTTGGCACACAGGGAAAACCTCACAAGTTTCCTCTTCCTTCCTTCCTTCTTTCCTCTGTCCTCCTGCCTCAACCTTCCAAATGCTGAGTTCACAGGCTTGTGCCACTGTGCCCACTCAGCTCACAGTTTTAAGGAACCCCTTCCCTTAAACCATGTTTAATATTATTCCCAAGGTGGCCCAGGAGCAGGGTAGTGGGGAGTAAACACAGTTTTCTGGGAGAATGGCATGTATCTGAAGTCAATATTTTGTAGAATTTATAAGATATAGAACAGCTCTCTTTATGGCTGTCGACCACTTTCACCACATTAATGAAGTCATTATTTTGAATCTTCAGTGACTCATAGTGGTTACTACAAAGAGAGTGTTCTGTGATTACACTCAGCAGCTCTGGGCATCCCACTAGCAGGGTTGAGCTGACAGGGCACACGTACTGATCTTCGAGAAAGACACAAATCCACCTGGTCGCTGCATGAGGAGATCACTTGTAACCCCCGAGTTTTGTCTGCACCTTGATCAGTCTGAGTCCCGCTGAGATTGGTGAGGTACACAGAACAAGCTAAAGAGATTTAGACTCTGAAAGTAGTGTATTCGTTCTAACCTGGCACAAGGTTGTTTATTCTGTCCCTTCCCCCATCTGATACAGTATGGTATACACATTAAAAGACGTGCCACTGCTGTGTTAGCTGTGTAGCTGAGAGATCTTCACTCCGTCAGTGTACAAATGCACTCTGACCCATGAACTCTGCTGCCCTTTGTTCTCTGTCTCTTCAGGAACTGATTAGTACCAAGCTCTAAATTATCCGCTAGCACAAACTTTCTGAGAGCTGGGCTTTTAAAGGTAAATACTGTAGATCTATATCTGTCTGTTGAGGTTTCTCACGTGCTCACAGCTTCTCAAATTTCAGCACTGCCCTGACCTGGGTTAATAGAAATGTCTAAGGAAAGGGCACTGGGCAGGGCACAGCAGGCTGCAGCACCCAAGAGTGTCCCTGTGACTTTGAACCACACAGCGTACACAGGACTGCTTGGTTAGCCTGTGGGTTAATTGGAGACCTAAGTCTTGGGCTTCTTTCCAGTTTTTTTGGAGCTGGGGGGTGATACATTTCAGCTCTGCAGATTGAATAAAGCCTTGCTGGTTTTAATCCACTTGAAGCTTACTTAACTCCTTTCAGGGCAAAGTGTAGAGCTGCCTGCTTGTGTAACAGGGAGAAAACATTACCAACGAAAGGAACAAAAAACAAAAAGCCAAATATAAAGCCTATGGGGTTATTTGAATTTGATCAAATTAGGCTTTTCCAAACTTTTGAAGGATGCCTGTGTGATGGCAAAACAGAAATAAACATAAAGGAATGCATTTAGGTGTTTTTCAAAAACAGTAGCATGTTCGTGCAACTGTGGTTGATTACTTTCCACACTGTGCAAACAATAGAGTACGTTTCTCCCAAACCTTAGGTGGCAGTCCTGTTACTAAGTGATAGAACCCCATGGGACTGCTATCCTATATGTGGTCCACTCTTGACCAGAGGTCATTATACAGCATGTGACAGTGAGTTTGGGGTTTTGGATTCCATTGCACTCAAGAGAACCTTCCCTTTTAGGGAAATTAAAAGCTGGGGTAACTTGCTAAAGCTGGCTACAGGTGAAAATAAGGGCTTGCTTACATGGGAAATACAACCAAGCCGAAGCTTTAATAGAAGCTCCTCCTGTGGGACTGCTGTGCCCTTTTGAAAAATCCCTCCTGAGGGCTGGAGAGATGGCTCCTGAGGGCACTTGCTGCTCTCTACCTCCAGTTCTGGGGACCAGTGCCCTCTTCTGACCTCAGGAGGCCCTGCATGCATATGGGTACACAGACATATGTGTAGGCAAGATACCCATATACATAAAATAAAAATAACTTAAAAAAGAAAACCTTAAGAAAATAAAGAGGTCAGGTGGTGGTGAAGCATAGTTTTCAAGTTTTGTTCCTGGATGTCGATGCTCACTTTCAGAGGGAGAGCCAGCCCTGCCATGGTTAAAGGACAGGAAAGTTTGAGAGCAGGGACCTTGAGGCCAACTCCTTGAGCTAGGGTCTTAGGACTCTCTACCTTCTAGGCTGTTGTGACGCTCAACAAGGAAGAGTCTTAATGAGGAATTATCTCGATCAGGTTTGCCTGTGGCACATCTGTGGAGGTTGTCTTAATTGTTGATTGAGGTAGGAAAACCCATCCTGAATATGGGAAGCACTGTCTTCTAGGCTGGGCCCTGGGCTGTGTAAAAATAGAGAAAACTAGGCTGGGCGATGGTGGCACACGCCTTTAATCCCAGCACTCGGGAGGCAGAGGCAGGCGGATCTCTGTGAGTTTGAGGCCAGCATGGTCTACAGAGCTAGTTCCAGGACAGAATCCAAAGCTACAGAGAAACCCTGTCTTGAAAATCAAACGAACAAACAGAATAGAGAAAGCTAGCTCAGTAGTTACTGAACAAGCAAGGACCGTGCATGGACTCTCTGTCCCTGACTATGCTGCTGTGTTCCCACCCTGGCTTCCTTGCCGTGATGAACTGCAGCCTGAAATTATAAGCCAAATAAACCTTCTCTTCCCTGCTTTATGTCAGGGGAGTGTCACAGCAACAGAAATGAAGTTAGAATACCTTCCAAGCATCAGGTACCCTGTTCACACAGCCCCTGAGTCAAGACCAGTACCTCAAATAGTAAGAAGACGGGGCCTCTGTGTGAAACCACATGTTCTCTGTGGCTGTGATGGGGTAGTTACCAAGGCCCTGGGGTTTATTAAGGCAAAATGACTGACAGAAACACACTCATAGCCCTTCTTCTTCTCCTTCTGCTTCTCCTTCTTTTTTTAAATATTTATTTATTATGTATACAATATTCTTTCTGTGTGTATGCTTGCAGGCCAGAAGAGGGCACCAGATCTCATTACAGATGGTTGTGAGCCACCATGTGGTTGCTGG